AACTATAAGGGCCGCATACACTAACATGGCCGCGGGCAGGGGATCGCAGCTCAAAAGAAAGCTTCATATTCTAAAGCTCCAGATATCTGAATTTCACGCTGTCTACCTGTCCGCAAGTACTCCTACTATCCTTCACTATGAATATGTTGAACAGGAGCGAGAAGCTGAACAAACCGCATTTTCCAGCTTTTGTGTGATCCCTGGTGATCCCCGGTGCTTTTCTTCAAAGTCATTTTTCTTCCTCCAAAGTTAACGAAAACCTTCCAAAGTTGTACTTATCATCTAACATAATCGTGTTAAGCATGTTGCTGATAAGAACAAATGAGTTTTTGAAAAATCGAATTTTTTGGTAAACCCCAAATTTCGACCTGTGGATCATCGAAAATTTCATGACTTCAAAACATCATTTGTTCTTATCAGCAACATGCTTAGCACTGTTATGTTAGATGTTCAGTACAACTTTGGAAGGTTTTCGTTAACTTCGGAGAAAGAAAAATGACTTTAAAGAAAAGCGCCGGGGATCTTCAGGGATCACACAAAAGCTGGATGCGGTTTGTACAGCTTCTCGCTCCTGTTCAACATGTTCATAGTGAAGGATAGTAGGAGTACTTACCCCCCCCCTCGGTACGCCACTGGTATGTATGTATGTATCAGTGACGGTCGCAGGATTTCGGACCGGGGGGTGGCAGCAAAAATTTTTTTCTAATGAATGTGCGTGGCTTCGCCACGCCCCCGAAAAAATTTTTTTACAAGGTTAATTTGAATTTTTGAAATTAAAAATTATTTTGATTGTTTACAAAAATAAACAAGTCATTTGCGCATTTTTATAACCCACGTAAGTAAATTTTGGAAATTTCGCGACCCATTCTCGGGAGGGGGGGGGGCGCCCCCCCCCCCCCCGGCTCGGTCCGCCACTGGTATGTATGTATGTGTAAGTACCTTTTGCTTCAACCAGATCGACTGCTGAAAGGCGGAGCTTTACGACCTAGAAGCGTCGCTTCCTAGGCATGAAGCTCCGCGACGCAGCCTGCTCCTCCCACGCGAACATGCTCTCTGATCATCATTTAGCCTTAATTAGGTCACAGCGCGCCGCTTTGCCGCCGATTTGGTCGAAGCAAAGTGTGTGTGTGTGTGTGTGTGTGTGTGTGTGTGTGTGTGTGTGTGTGTGTGTGTGTGTTGCTTACAGAATGTGTAGTGTATATTTGTGCATGGACCGATTCAGCTAAACAAAGAGATAAATCCACAGTGAGAAAGAGCATTCCAAGAATTCCAAAACATCCTAAAGGTAACTACTGTTTTTTACACGACCGGTTTCGGGGCTAAGAACTAGACCGGTAGTGTAGCTTTCTTGGTGCCCCATCATCAGTAGTTCCCAAGAAAGCTTCAAAAGGTATTCGTATACACAATTACTAAAGAGTGGTAACGAGCCAGAAACAATTATTAGAGTTAGCCAATTTAACAAAATATAACAGATGCAGCGTAGAGGATGGCGAACATGAGCACAAAGAGAGTGATAGACACGATGGCATGCATCAACTCAATTTGAATGTGACCTTGCTATTCCGGCGCGTTATCTTTAGTCCACAATTCTTGTAGGTCATGTATCAAAGGGAGATGATTAGCCGTAGGAAAACTAATACTTCGCGTACATTGATTTTGTGAACCGACGGTTGTTTTGGGCTACATCTTGCGAAATTCGCCAGCTGTTCTAATGAATTTACTGATTTGCTTCCTCGCATTTAGGGAAATGAAAGCTTCAATCATTATCAAGTCATTTTCCCGTTGTCATGTAAGCAGCAGCGATGTAAAGCTAATTACCATTTGCTAATTAGCAGTAGACGGACAGAAGGCAAGTCCGTTTTACTGCAAAACTGCATGCGACAGAGAGACATTAGGCGAGCAGGGCGGTTTGATGCGGAAAAGTGTAATTGAAAAGAGTCTCTTTTGCTGCATGCCAGAATACCCTTTCACAATTCGGCTACACCAGGGCGGGATTCGAGATGAAACCCACTATTGTCATATAAACGTGAATAAGGAGATAAGTTTCGTTATAGCGCGGCTAAACAACTTGTGTTTGTTAACACTACGGCAGTTGAATTTATATCAAAGACATGTGAACTACACTAATGTTTCTTGAAAGTAAGCAAACGCCTTTTGACCGTTTATAAATTTCTTGATTCTTTGTCTTTGCCCTTTAGGTACCATTTAGTCCTTGGTTGGAACTTAGATTCACAAAACGGGTTTATCGATGGTTTCTCATCTGTTTAGAATTACGTTAGATAGCTTCAGTCTATAGCCAGAGTACACATATCGCACCCAGCTAAAACACAGGATCTCACAAGACTGCGTCAACCTTGGCTGCAGGGGTGCGGGAATTTATCTACCCAGAGAGGCATGCCGCCATGTAATTAGCAGGGGACATGAGAGGTCATGAACTGTCACGCTAATTTGCACCCAATTTGCACTGAAGACAGGCAGATTTTGCTCACAACAGAACGACATTATCCTACTGTGTACGAAACCAAGATTTATTGAAATTTGAACTCAAAGTTCAGTATTAAATTTAGTCCAACTAGGGTAAAAATTTGTATTTAAGGGTAATCTGCCATGCTGGTCCCATATATGATGGTGGCTTTGCGTAAAAACTCAAAATTTTTTCTTTTGAATTTCAATCCTGTTTTCGAAATCTGGCAAAAAGCCCAAAATTGTCATTTTAGGGTTTTCCATGATGCTGTCTTCGAATATGCTAACGTTTTCGCCGGAAAATTCGGAAACTTTTTCTTTTGGAATTTTGACTTTTTCATAAATTTCACTGCAACTTTGATAAAACTGGAAAACAAATAAAAAAGAATGCTACTTTCAAAAGGACTAGAAAAAATGATATAAACTGCGAAATAAAATTTGAAAAAAAAGGTGAGAAAAAATAATGAAGCCGAAACTAAGTTTGAAGGGTTGGAAAAGATTTCCAGCTACCATCAAAATCTGTGCGTTATAAAATTATTCTGGACACTACAATTACCCTAATTTCCGTGGTATAAGGCGCAGTAGCTTTCGCCGCGCGCGGACTGGTGTGTGATGACGTTCGCGATGCGCGACGTCGCATAAGCCGCCAATAGCAACCCCTTTTAAGCAGCAGTACTTTTTGCTCTCGTTCTTTATTATTCTCCTCTCAATAAAAATCAGTTTCAGAATAAACTTCTTTCTTATCTATTATTCTTCAAGAAGAACAGGAATAAAGCAAAAACAGTAACATCAAAATACCAGTAATATTATTGTAAAAGAAAGCATAGTGTCAGTACCAGTAGCATTATTAGAAACGAAGGGGAGCACAATTGTGGCACCGGTGACGTCATTGAAAACAAGAAAAGGAATTATCTAAACACCATAAACACCATGAGAACGCCTTTCTCTCGCCTGTAGAAACGATATTGAAGTCATTCTGAAAAGAGTAAAAAAGTATTTGAAGGCATGATTTATGAGCAGTGAAGAACAATCATAGCACACTGAGTCTTTAGCTTGCTAAATTTGCAAAGGAAATTAAAAAGCGTTTTCGCGCCGTTGTTCGCTGCGGCAGGTGCGCCTTATAACCCGGAAATAGGGTAGTTTCCCTAAAGAGCAGCTACTGAATTATCACTTAATTCTTGAAAAGTGAACATTTGTATCGGTGGATTAGAGAATTTTATACTAAACCATTATCGTATTCGTAAAGAGCGCTCTTATAAACCCCCAAATCCAAGTTTTTATTCTGATTTGCCAAATATCGCCACTAAACATTGATTTTAATCCCGTCACAAAGCTCGGTTTCAAGCAAAACCACCATCATTTTTGGAACCAGCATGGCAGATCACCCCTAAATACAAGTTTTTACTCTAGTTGGACTAATTTCACTACTGAACTTTGAATTAAATTTTCGATGAACCCCCGGTTTCGCACACTGTAAGATGATGTCGTATCTGTCGTGAGTAAAGTCTGCTTGTCTTCGGTGCAAATTGGGTGCAAATTAGCGTTGCTAACTTTTCATGACCTCTTATGTCCACCTGTTGATTACATGGCGGCATACCTCTCTAGATAGATAAATTCCGTTCCCCTGGCTGCAGGCGTTCAATTCAAAATTAAGGTTTCTATAGCCATTTTCGACATTTTCATAACCTGCAGCTGCATTTTTGGAAACAGCGTGAAGAATAAGCTCAGATAAGCAAAAAACTTCCTGTTGAAGTTTTGCCTGGACGCTGTCTTTAACTTCTGATTTCGTAAAGCTTTCTGAGTGCCGTGATTACCGTTTCAATGGAGCACTGAAATAGCAGTTGTTACGGTTATGTCATAATTCATGGATGAAGCATTATGAAAGCGCAAATTTCACGATTAGAGTCAAATGCTGTATTTAGTCCAAGTCAAGATCGGTTTGTTGGTGCCCTGGTGAGAGTTGTAGCAATTTCACGCTCGAAATCCTGCTTAATCTCACTGTACTACATCAATGAAGCTATATGTGATTTAAAATGTAGATCTAAGTTTGAGCCGGCTCTACAAAATGGTATTTATTGGAAGGCACTGAAGCGATGTACCGTCCAAACCGTTCACATCTTTTGAGAGTAAATTGACGGAACTGCCCGCGATGCAAGTGTATAACATTTCGACAAGCACCTAGCAGTACACGTGCTGCTTTTACCTCTGACAGCAAACCATCTCTATTTCTTATGCTTCTTTTGTTATAGCATTAAGACTGAGACTTTCTTCTGTTACAGCATTCAGATTAGGACTGATACCAACTATGCTGAAAGACTGACATCTCAGCAATGTCGATTTTTTCAGAGTCCAATCGAAAGCAAATCATCATTATCTATTCGAACGAACTTGTAGATTGCAGAAAAAAAGTCCAAGCTTCAGGAAAACAACAGTCATATCAAAGCACATTATCTCTAATTTATAAAATGCGTTCTCACAATAATCCCTTCACAAACTCGCTAACTAAAGTATTCACAAAGCTCCCAAAATTTTTTCAGGATTCAATCAAAAATGTTGCTTGAGTTCTTTGCACTTGGCGTTCTGTCCTATTCCGCACTTGGAAAAGGTAATTTGTTACAATGCGTCTATGAAACACAAAAACTGTACTATTTTTGAACTGGTGTTTTGAGGTATTTTAAACCCGCAGGAGGTAGTAAATGCACTGCCTAAGCCTGCTGATCTCTTCGACTCTGAAGTACCAGGAAGCGGCAATGTGCATGGCGCAAAGGGCAAAAAAGGCGCAGAAATGGGAATGAATGATCAAATAAGACCGGAATCGGGCAAAGGAGCAGCTGCAAAAGCTCCTGGTACCAAGCCTCCTACCGAAGTAACCGAATTGTCAGGTGGAGACAAGGAATTAAATAAGGAAGCAACTACCAAACCTCCTACCGAATTGCCAGGTAGAGACAAAGAATTAAATAAAGAAACAACTACCAAACCTCCCGAAGTAACCGATTTGCCAGGTGGCGACAAAAAATCGGACAAAGAGGCAACTACCAAACCTCCTAACGAAGTAACCGAATTGCCAGGTGGCGACAAAGAATCGGACAAAGAAGCAACTACCAGACCTCCTAACGAAGTAACCGAATTGCCAGTTGGAGACAAAGAATCAAATAAAGAAGCAACTACCAAATCTTCTACCGGAGTAAGCGAATTACCAGGTGGCGACAAAGAATCGGACAAAGAAGCAACTACCAAATCTTCTACCGGAGTAAGCGAATCACCAGGTGGCGACAAAGAATCGGGAAAGGAAGCAACTACCAAACCTCCTACCGAAGTAACCGAATTGGCAGGTGGCGACAAAGAATCGGACAAAGAAGCAACTACCAAATCTCCTAACGAAGTAACCGAATTGCCAGGTGGAGATAAAGAATCGGGAAAAGAAGCAACTACCAAACCTCCTATCGAAGTAACCGAATTGCCAGGTGGCGACAAAGAATCGGACAAAGAAGCAACTACCAAACCTCCTAACGAAGTAAGCGAATTGCCAGGTGGAGACAAAGAATCAAATAAAGAAGCAACTACCAAATCTTCTACCGGAGTAAGCGAATTACCAGGCGGCGACAAAGAATCGGGAAAAGAAGCAACTACCAAACCTCCTACCGAAGTAACCGAATTGGCAGGTGGCGACAAAGAATCGGACAAAGAAGCAACTACCAAATCTCCTAACGAAGTAACCGAAATGCCAGGTGGAGATAAAGAATCGGGAAAAGGAGCAACTACTAAACCTCCTATCGAATTGCCAGGTGGAGACAAAGAATTAAATAAAGAAACAACTACCAAACCTCCCGAAGTAACCGATTTGCCAGGTGGCGACAAAGAATCAAATAAAGAAGCAACTACCAAATCTTCTACCGGAGTAAGCGAATTGGCAGGTGGCGACAAAGAATCGGACAAAGAAGCAACTACCAAATCTCCTAACGAAGTAACCGAATTGCCAGGTGGAGATAAAGAATCGGGAAAAGAAGCAACTACCAAACCTCCTATCGAAGTAACCGAATTACCAGGTGGCGACAAAGAATCGGGAAAAGAAGCAACTACCAAACCTCCTACCGAAGTAACCGAATTGGCAGGTGGCGACAAAGAATCGGACAAAGAAGCAACTACCAAACCTCCTAACGAAGTAACCGAATTGCCAGGTAGAGACAAAGAATCGAATAAAGAAGCAACTACCAAACCTTCTACCGAAGTAACCCAACTGCCAGGTGGAGACAAAGAATTGAATAAAGAAACAACTACCAAACCGCCTATTGAAGTAACCGAATTGCCAGGTGGAGACAAAGAATCGGAATGGGGCAAACAAACAACTTTCAAACCTCCTGGTGAGTTCGAATTCCGATTCCCAGGTGGCGGCAACATGTATGGCAGAGGAGGCGCAGGAATAGGAATGCATAATCGTGGATTGGGAATTTCTCTGGGTCCAATAATAAACCCGACGGATTGGAGGGAATGGGACGGGGCATGGAAGGAGTGGGACGAGGAATGGAAGGAATGGGACGAGGAATGGAAGGAACGGGACGAGGAATGGAAGGAATGGGACGAGGAATGGAAGGAATGGGACAAAGAGATAAAAGAATTGGACAAGGAAATGGATGAACTGGACGAGGAAATGAAAGAATTAGACAAGGAATGGAGGGTCCTAGGAAGACCCGTACACGGGTCTAAAAGAACCGCTTCTCTCCAGAACGAGGTAAAATCAAAGATACTTTGTGATTAACAATTATTAGTCATGTACATTCTCACAGGATACTGGTAATCGCAAGGCATCCCATCAGCTTGAGTGATATCAATGGAAACTTCTGTTTTTCAGTATTTCTCTCAATAAAGGGCAACATTATTACTTGAAAAGCTTCAGATCCCTGACGTCGACCGTTGATCATTTTAATATTTGGCAATAGAAGCAATAGCAGAGTGATTTTGAATACTTAGTAGATTACTGCACATTTGATATTTGTCGGGCCTTGAGACTTACGAGGAAAATAATTTCAGTGGCCGTGGCCAGGGGCCGCACGCGGTGGTATATGAGAAATTCAAAAACGAAAGCCTCCTTGATATTACAGAAAATTACGAGTTATCTTTTGTAGTGTATGTAAAGCTCTTCTAATAATCCGCAACAAAAAAACGTGAAAGTGAAAAAAGACAGGAATAAATTGAAAATCATGAAGCAAAATGCGAAAAACGTTTTTCACGAGCTGTAACAAAGCATAGGTGACAAAACTTGGATTTAAATGAGTACTCATAGTAGAGCTTGATCTAAATAGTAGGTTTATGTGGAAGAATTTGAAGACTTATGCGAAGAAGGGGGAGAATTGTGAAGATTCATGACTTGATCTCGTATCGCGCAACCTCAGGGCTCTCCCAGGTTGCGCAGAAGCGATCTAAAACCGAAAAACATTTATAACTTCTTTCTGTCGCGAATTCGCGACTTCCTTCAAAGGAGGCCGCCGCCGCGCTGCCAAGGGGTCCCGAATCGCTGTCATCGCGCTGCTCCCGCCTTCCCACCGCTACCGCAGCAGCTTTCAAATCAGTCGTTGTTATCGTTACCTAGTGAGCGGTTGGGTCCCAGTTTCGTCTTCACTCCGGTCGATCGATGCAGCGCCGTCCCCAACTCACGCGCTCTACATCCAACACGCCGCGGAAGACAGGCATTTCCGCAAACGAGGTAACCCCGTGTGCGCTCGCGCCTGGCACAGGCCGGCGACACCGCCACGGGGGCTTTCCGATATTGCTGGCCCCTAGGTTAACATCTGGCTGGTTGTGCCCCACCCTTGTGTTTGAGTTTAGGGAATAGTTGTGGATAAATGGTGGGCATTTGCGCGTGTGATTTGTTTTGATGTGATGAGCCTCAGCGTGGCTGTGGCTCCGGGGAGGATACCTAGTGTCATCAGTGTTCATGTGTATCTTATAATCCTGCCTAATGTGATAGACCGGTTAGAAGGCTGGCACGACCCCGAGTAGTGCCTTGGTTATAAGTTCAGTGCCCCAACTGTCGATAGTTGGGAGTATATGTCGAGTCGCAAGTATCAAGTAACTGCTAAGTAGGCTGGTGGCAAGGGCTTCTATGTGTGCATGGCATGTTATGTGGCAGACGGAATTCGCATTCTGACAGGTAACGCCACCACAATGTACGCTACATCTTACCCCGGATGGGACCCCTGGCTTCCCTCGCCGTTGCAGGAGAGCCACGTTACCACTGACATTGGGAGCTGGGGCCCAATCCGCGACACTTCGTTAACGTAATTTTTCCGTAAACTTTTGTCCCTCCTTTGAATATCGGCGCTGCCTTTAATAATCGACGCATATGTACGCACCAAATTTGTTGGCTCAATATTGCTTACTCGCTGTAAACTAACCGATTGTTTACATTTTTGTGCTTAAGATTCTGTTTTAGCATGTTAAAGTCCTGCGTACACAGGTTTATGCACTAGTCGTGTTTGAACGTTTAATTACCTGTAACGGGTAAAATTACTGGACATCAGATTTCTGGGTAGAAACTTTACGGGTTGCCCTTTGCTTTCCCATAAGAAAAAGAAATCCAGCGTGTGAAAGCGCCACCTCTGCTGAACTCTGGTTGTGGCCATTTGATATAAGATGCGTATCAACTAAAACAATTTGAACGCTGGTTTCACTTCTGCACGTGTTTGAGGGACGCTCTTCCGGAAGAACCTTTGTAAGCCTGAAAAACCCATTTTTGGAGTGCTTCTTAAGTTCGAGGACACTGATAATTAGTGGCAAAGTGGTGTAGTGGTTAGCGTGCTGGCATTAGAGGCGAGAGATCAATGCTTCGGAGAAAGGAAGAGCGAACCCTATTCCATTCTTAGTATGTGTTAGATACGCACTGGAAACTTAAGCAGACACTTACAGCAATGCTCTCAGCAAATTTGACCGAAAGAGAATTTTCTAGCACAGCTGCATTGAGTAAGAGCTCTCCCGCCGAATTCAAACCACTGACCTCTCGCCTTTAATGCCAGCACGGCCGAAAATTTGCAGTTCTACTATTAATTTTGAAAATTAAAAAAATTTTGAATACTATTCTGATATTTTTCAAGTGTAAACAAGTCGCAAGCGCTTTTCTGTAAAAACAAGTAAAATTTGAAGAATGTAGATAAGAGATCAGCCTTCAAAAATGCTCTAGCACATGCATTCCATATCGAACAGCCACGGCCATTGAAAGTACTTCCTTCTTTAGCATGTAGCTTCGATGGGAACAACAACTGATGCATGCTACATTCCAAAAACTCACTACTTTCCAAACTTTGAAATGGTTCGTGCTGCGCGTATTATGCAATCGTGACTCGAGACCTTGCTTGCAACACGGTTAGCTTCGTGATAGAGAGTATTTCACGCAGGTACGCATATAAGCTGTATCCCACCGTCGTTTCCGGGTTGCTGTACTTGCGATGACGCGCGTCGCCTGCAACGAGCCTTAAGGCCTAAGCCATACCTCGCGCGACTTCGGTCGCTGCGCGATTTGGCATAACAGCGACTCTTTGTAATTCGTCGTTAATGCGCTTCCTCTGATCAGGACTTGCCCCGTTTGCAACAACTTACACAAGCTACCCGCCTATGCGTTCGAGAAGCGCTCACGATAGATTTGTAGAAATCTGGCAAATCGCCGAGTCGCTTGGAAGCGGCGATTTGCCCGAATCGCGTCAGGTATGCCTTAGGCCTAGAAGGCGTAACAGTGTTCGCACGCGTCGCAACGCACCCTCGCCGTTTGCCGCGGGCGCGACGTCGCATGACCGATGCTGGATGGTACGGCTTATCTATATAGGCCGTACAAACCAGTTTAGGGCTTATCAACTGCAATATCGGGTACCAGCATTTCCATTCCCGCGCGGCCACTTCGCCTGGACTCTGCACCTCTTTCGTGAACATCCTCTGATCACTTTGCCACTGCGAGCGTGGGAAAGGCGGAGCCGCGATTGACTGGAAAATGATTAGAGCGCATGTTCAGGAAGAAGTGTAGAGTTCCGCGCGGGAGTGGGGATACCGATGCATTCGACACTGTAATTAATAAGTCCTGTACATGCACTCATAAAAAAACACCAGACCACCTCAGCGCATTATTACAATTGTATAATGATTAGCGGATAGTCTAAAACTTTTCTGTTGCAGAAGGTGTTTACATTCAACTCAGCATGACAAGCTGATGAGTTTCGCTCTTAATGATGATGTGAATGAAGACGAGAAATTCATATACCATCGATTATGCCCACATCGGGAATTTCATACTCATATTTGCGGCGAAAATCAAGAAGTATTTTCTGCTTAACTACTACACTGCTAACGCAATCCTTCAATGTTCAGCTAAAATATCAATATAAAGAATTCTGAATTCAATCTATGAGGACGAACTAGTATTAGTTCGTCCTCATAGATTGAAACGCAAACTTCAAACGCAGTAAGAAGATAAATCTAATATTAGGTCGGTTCGAATGTTCGTGCCGTTTTTACACTTACTTCAAATCGTTTATAGTAGTGATAGTCAAACGCTCCAAATACTGGTCGATGCAATTCTTCCTGTTTTTAGCAGTAATGTTTTTTATTCGAGTCTTAGACGAAAAAATTGTAGGAATGTGCAATCCATGGTTTTAACCTACTCTAACTTCTGCTATTATTTGAAATTTTTCTTTTCAGATTTCGGAAGAGCTTTGTTAACAGTTGGATAGAGTAAACACACCTTCGATGGTCTAGAGATAGGGCATTAAAAGTGAAGGTTGTTTGATTATCTGCTCCTCATATATAAAACTAGAGAAGAAAAAAATGCAAAACAGTCAGTAAAAGCAAAAGAAAACTCTTGAAAATCGGATAAAAACGCTGCAACAAGTTTAAAATCTTTTGTTTGGCGGCATTGCAGGTTTTCGCTCCAGAACCATGTAGTCCACAGCACGGCGAAACCAGGAAAAGCTAGTTTTTCTTTGTGTTTATTCCAAAACCAACCATGCTTCGAAAGTAACAATTATCAAAAGAACAAGAAAAGAATCAGTTTTAAAAACGCAGAGTCTTGTTCTTATCAAGTCGAAATGCGCGTCAAAGCCAACTTAGTTTTTGATGCGCCCTTTAAATTTTACCCCCGCATTGTGGTTCTCGTTTTCTGGAACGTTGCCTATATCGTTCCGCTCATCAATCTAAGCAATAATCGTCCAAGCTGGAAAAAAATCGCTGCGAAAGCACTGAAATAGAACAATGTTAAGAAAAACACATTTTTTGCGATTTTTCACAAAAAATTCCTCCTCAAAGAATTAAGCACTGGATCGTTGTCTGCATTACGAACGGGAGCAAGATCTATGGAATGCACGAAAAAACCGCGTGAAAAAGTTGAACTAGGAGAAAAACAAGAGATTTTCGAGAACAAGGTTTTTGCCGAATTTCTCGTTTAGATCAAAAAATATGGTTTTGAGACGTCGTCAGCGATATAGCTTGTTAGAATTGGGTTCGAAACAACAAAGAAAAGGGTACCAAAGCCTAATGCCCTGCGCCCCGCGTTTGGGGTAGCGAGGTAGCGCGGAGACCCCGACGAGTAGCGGAGACTGACCAGAGCCGACGGGGGCATTTGGCTCTGGTGGTAGATCTCCGCGTACTCTGCAACAATATATACATCATTCTGATCGTCATGACACAATGAGGAGCACTGACCAATCATTAACGAGAAAGATCAGCATTTCATGCACGAGTCTCTGCGCAAGATTCAAGCGCCGCTTCGCGTTTTTATTCAACTCCAACAGCTTTCCTAAACTTCTGAAACTCAATTTCAGTCAAATAAGAGGTTAAGTGAGAAATGTTGT